CTGGAGGCCAGCCTCTTCTGGAGCCTGAGCATGCTGCAAAACACGGACACTTATCAAGATATATACACGAGATATAAATATGTCACAGTCGTTGGTGAAGACAATTCAGTTGTTACTACTTTATTCCGGTGCTTTGATGAACATGTTAGCTGCTGAGCTAAAGCTAACCGGGTTAACAACATGGCTTCTCCCGAGCCACAACGTGCTGCTCACAGGCACAAAATAAAGGTTTGTATCATTGTTTTGAGACGTTTAATTTATCGATATGTGTGCAGACGACGGTTTAACATCCCCGACATGGGATAATCTATAAACATTTACGCAATTTTATGTTAAATAATTCGTTTTCATGGGGAGAAAACGTGGAGCGTACCTCATGGCTGCTACTTCAACGGGGAAAGGAAGGCTTCAGAGTCGGGCCGGAAGGTACCATTTTTAAGGAAAGTCCAAGTTTGTGTCTATTAAATCTGCCTTTAATAGACACAAACTTGAGGTCTTTTTCAAATACTTTGGCTTATTTCTCTAAAAACATGATCTATTTGTATTATAAGCAGAACTTTAACGTGAACACTTGTTGTAAAAACTTTAATGTTTTGGTTCTACCTATAAGCTATGTTGGTACAATCCAAAATGTATGGAGTGCATTATGGGTAAAATATCATTGTGTTGTCTTCTCCAGAATGGCCGCTTGATGGCGACATAGATCAATTTAACAGATTTTCAATTTGGGAGGACGAATAACAACATTTGTATACGATAAGAAACAAATACAAAAACAATTTACTAGTATATTTTTACAATTATATGGGGATTGTCAAACATTTTTACCTAACAATGTGATGCTTTTTGTTGAAACAAGCAATTTCTATGTACTTCTTAACAGGTATTAATCAGTATTTATCACTCTTAATACATTTATTTATTTACATTTGTTTCTTAATAAGAAGCAAATCTGCCTCCTGTTGAACATATCCAGGTCAGTAGTGAGTGCCAATGTGTTTGCAGCTGATTGGCACAAAATGTATCAGTAACTTGTAGATAGACTGTGAACAGAGGATCACATTCTTTGAAGTACACTTTTCATTTTACTCAATATAACAATAACATCTTTATTCCTCTATAGCTCTTTTGTATTTTGGTCTTCCCCTGACGGCAGCTCTCACCTGAACATATCGCAATATTGATCCAGTGTACTTTCATTCACACAGGTTTAACACACAAATCCTGCATATTTCCCCACTATGTTTTAAAACTCCATATACCTTCACTAGAATCATTTGGATAATTTCAGCCATAGAATTGCTATTCTCTCTATAACAAGAGGTAAACAGTAACTGTTCACTTGAAACCTACCAATTCATGACATCACAAGGTGGAACAGAGAATTTTGAGCTTTTGAGATGTAAGTAATAAGAAGTAATAAGTACAGTAATAATAAAGGATTACTCAAATATGTGCAAATGAAACAAACACAACTCCAGGTATGTTTTTGTTTTGTAACAACATAACATGGCTAAAAGCTCAATTTTGCTTAATATAGGAGCTTTAATAGTTCTCCTATATAACATTATCTGAAGTAAAGAGTAAAATGAAGTCTGATGAGATGCCTACGTCCATGTTTTAAATAACTATCCACTAGTTCAATGACTCAGTTTTGATTTACACTTATGCTGCCTCCTGCGATCACAGCCCCAATGAGTTATCAGCACTTTAGAGGTGTGATAGATTAATTTCTTTCTTCTATTAGCAAAACTGTGCTTCATAACTCATTTTCTATCACTCTTAAAGAATATAATGACAACACTTCTTCTAAATACTTGTACACTGGTACTACTGACATGCTGTATTTGTATTGGATTTGTATTTTATTTGTTACTTATTTTGCCAGTTTTGGTAGGTCTGACATATAAACAAAGTCTTTTAGTGTATTTTCATTCAGTCACACTTCAGTCACACAAATTGCTTTCTTCATGACAGTTGTCCTGGGGCAGACTGAAAAAACATGACTGCTAATATGCACTGTGGGCTACATCTGACTACAACATATCACACTAATTAATAAAGGTGGGTAAAATGTCTTGCCTAAGAATACAATGGCAGAATACAATGTCAGTAACAGATTGAAGAGTAATGAGATGCTTATTATAGGTCCTATAGTTCTCAATAAGAACATGTTTATAATATAGGTCTCCATAGGCTATGGTAGTCTATATCAATATTGACTTGGTATCAATAGAGGTTAGCAAATCAAATAAATGCAGATCTTAAATCAAGATCTGGACAGCTTAGTGCTTGTTTGTTGGGCTCCATGGAGATGTGCAGGTGAAGGACTATCAATCAGAAAAGTTACATATTGCCCCTTTTTGTTTTAATGCCCTGGTTTAGACCTTGTTTGTTATAAGTCTAGTATCATTTCATCTTAGTGCATATTTCTTTTAAAAGTGCATTGTGTAACTTTTCTGGTGTCTGTCAAATGCTTTTTTCCTTGGAGATGTAATTGCTTCTTCTGGAATGTTTCACAGTATGGCATTAAACCTTTCTATTTTCATGGAGACCAAACCAGACCAAGTTACAGGTCAGATCTGTGGAAGACGCAAATCTGCTCACAAACAGAATATCTGCTTTTCTAGGTATTTTTGAGCTATAAAACCACCTGTAATTGAATAAATGTAAGGTAGATCTAGTTAAAGTTATACTGTGGAACATTCCTGGAAGAGCAATGACATATCCATACCCCAAAAACTATTGCAACCTGTTGATAGTCTACTATTAATTTCTGAATGCTGTGCTCACATTGTATCACTAGGGGCAACATACAGTATTTATGTTTTAATTAACTAGTCTGAAGTCCAGTCCCTTGGCAACTCCAAACACATCTGCCCCACACTGTAAGTAGTGGTAATTGCAGCCCCCCTTTTACAACCCCAGGGACCAGCGGACATTCTGTGGATCAGTGTCGTAACATCACTTTGGTATTTTTTTTCCCATTAAAGGGCCCATATTACACTGTATTCTGATCTATGTTATAATGTTGTTTCTTCATCAAAAACATACATGGAGTTGTGTTTTGTTTCGTTCACTTACGTTTAACACACAAAGCCTGCATGTTTAGGCTGTTTTCTTCTCTCAAACTGAAAACAGGTCTTTCCACTTTGTGATGTCATGTGATAATACAGCTAAGTTTTTAGACTCTATATACCTTCACCTGAATCATCTGGATAATTTCAGCCAATGGAATGGCCAATCTCTACTAAACTAAAGGTAAAAGGTTGCTATTAACAAGAAAACTACCACTACATAACATCACAAGGTGGAACAAAGCATTTAGAGCTCTGAAGATGTAGACAGACTAATAAAAAAGGATTACTCAAACGTGCGAATTGAACAAAACACAAACTCCATGTATATTTTTGATGAAGTAACTGCATTATAACATGACTTAAGCTCACAACTGTCAGTTTTATGTAATATCGGACCTTTATGCCCTCATAAAAATGACCCACAATCCTTATACTTCACCAGATTCCCCAACGCATCCCCGCTGTTGAGTTTGACAAATTGTAGTCTTTTTTCTTTACCCCCACAGACCAGGTTGGCTATAGCTGCCACCCAGGGGACCACCACAATCAATGCCCCCGTTGTTTGGTCCTGTTGTTCTCGTCAATCGATGAGCGAAGGTGGGATCTGCACGAGCGGGGCGTGGACCTCGGCTCCCAGCTGGAGTCTGCCGAGCGCTCGCCCAGAAAGGAAACTGGGCAAGTTAGAAAAAAGCGAGAAAAGAGCGACCGGAAATAGGGGAATGTATGTTTCAAAATAAAAGTCAAAATGAAAAAGGACCAGAAAGTAAGTGGATGCATCATACACAACAGGCTTAGACAAAGTTTATTGATCCACAAGGTAATTTACTTGGACACAGTAAATCACATATTATAATGTAATAACTAAAAGAAAAATGTAATCTTTCAAAATATAAAAACTGCTTTCAAAAGTAACGAGATATTAAAAGAAAAGCAACTCAGATCCAGAGCGCAAAGAAAATCCCCTCCGTCCAAAGAGACTACAAAGTCCCACTATTTTTGCTAAATTAGCCAACTTTTTTATTAAGTAGAGCTATCAGTAATTTGTTTGTTTATAGTCTAATATAATCATATGATGAAGTCTTTGCTGAATTACAGTTCTGCCTGTTGCTTCAGCACCATTTGGCCTGACTACCACATGGTAAGGCACAGGAGAAATTAAATTTGTCAACTGAGCAAAAGTTTTTCTGGTTGAATACATTTCACAGCTCATCCAAGCTGCTTCTTCAGAAGTGAAGAAATACCTCTCTGCCGAACTGAAGGAGCAGCTTGGATGAGCTGCTATTGCGAAACATCTTTCTAACCCTTTGCCATGGATTCTACCTGGATGAATGAAGGATTTTACATACTACATGTTAAAATAATACATGTATTAATACATTCATTTTTATGGTTAAGTGTTCATTTTGGATAAAGGTGGAAAATTAGGCTTGACCATAAATATGTTAAAGCTTCAGGTAATGTAAAAACAGTAATATACCTACACAGTTTGCAGTTCACATCAAGTAAGATTTTTGTTTTTATTTTTTATTAATCAGAAACAGTATGCATCCAAAAACTCATATAGTTAAAGTTAAATTAGATAAAGTTGCAATTTAAGTTTCATAGTAAGAGATGTATTGTATGTGTATTTTAACTGTTAACTGTAAGTAGGCTAAAATCAACAAACAAGTGGGTGTTTACAAACTTGTAGGCCTATTTAAATTGACACTTAATTAACCAAATATCAGCTTGCATTCAACGTTTAAAACATGCAAAATTATGCTATCAAACGAGCAAGCAGGTTTATTTTGAAAGGGCTAACCGGAAGCGCAGTTGTAGTCACGTGCTGCATTGACTTCATCGTAAGCCCCGGTGTGTAACGCTATAGGCAGGAGAGGAGCAGCTGTTCCCATTATTATTACCATCAGCCGCTCAGACACATCTCCTGCCTGAGAAAAAACAAGAAAGACTAAAATGACAATCCCTACAGCATCTTAAAACACTGAAATTAAACCCGGAAACAACGTAGATTTTGTAAAAAGTTAAATCAATGGTACAGAAAAGTAGTATGTCTAGGACGCCTTCCACTTCAACCCAGGAGATTCAAATGGACATGTTTGAGCACCATCCTCACACGCAGGTAAGAAACGACAAATTATGATGTTATAACGTGAAAATAGCGCGTGACAATAGTAGAAAAACAGTCGGTTTGTTAAAATAAACCCTACATTTCGCATACGGGCATTTTTACCTAAACGATGCTTTCCCACTTCGGAGGATTAACAGGTTGTTTGAATGCATCGCGACGGAAGACTTGGAAATACGCTTTGTTTAAAATAGTCTAAATTAATATTATAATTTGTCATTGCTTTATTATTATAATTCGAAGTTAATCATGCCGTTTTGCTGATTATAAATGCGTAATAAACATCTTAATTGGAATCTAGCTGGTCAAAATGCTAGTAGGCTAATTACGGTAACGCGTGCTTGGAAAGTGATGTAAGAATGTATTTTCAATAGTTTTCCTTGCAGCTGGTTGACAAAATGATCTATGAAAGATGCCATCAAGAGTTATATTTAGCCTCTATAGGATTTAGAATAGGATCTAAAGTAGGCTATATTGTATATTAATCACTGATAATTATGTAGTTGTCATTATTATTGTTGGGTAGGCTATTGGGAATTTTGTCATAAACTGAAAACCACATGTACTTTTACTACCCAGTTTTTTGTCTGTTTACTTTTAAGGGTTGATAAAAAATATTGGAAATCAGATATGAATCAACACTAAAACTAGTATCGAAATTATATACTGATTTGAGCAGGGATTGATACTAAAAAAGTCACATTTACAGGACAGAAATTAGCCTTTCCTGTAGCTTTAGAATGATCTTGAGCTGTATCAGAACAAGTATAAGAGCACATAAACTAGTATACACTCATGGACCACTATGGAGCCTACCAGGGATTGCTTAGATATAACACCACATGATAAAATAAAAGAAAATGCCATGATTTAGTGTTGAAATTCACATTCTAAAGCCTAAAGAGTTTTTATTATCATTGTGGTATCAGAATCAGTATTGAGTATCAAGTCTATTGCTTGGCATTGAAATCGAATTTGAAATTTTTGTATCGTGACAACACTTCCAACTTTTTTTATCCATTGTTTTCATTTTGTCAGGCTATGTCGACATAAAAAGGCTGCAGAGGAGGCATTTGAGCATTTCATGAATCTGTAGGCAAGTGTAGTCATAACTGGATGATATTATATTGGGAAAGAACACACCTACGCTCTACGCAATCATTGTCTCTATAGAGGAGGGAAAATAACACACGGACTCATGCAGCCAGTGATTCAGAAAAGCTACTGTATGTAGCTATGTGGTCATACAGTGTTAAGCAAAAGAGGTCATTCTGAGTCAGTGTATGCTTCTTTGGGCCAGTCCCAAGCTTGGATAAATGATGATAATTGTATCTGAGGGTGCATAACTATGTTAACTTGGTACCTGTTTGGTCATTATGTAGGCTAGGGATGCACCATACTGTACCGGTGTCGGATATTGACTTATTTTTATGGATAGGATATCGATCCCAAGATATCATTTAATTCGATATCCCATTTTGGTCTATAAATTGGTGTAATAAGATAATTTACTGACCAATATTTGCCCAAAATAAAAAGCTGTTCTAGGTAGATAGATACATAGCTAGCTAGTCAGATAGATAGATAGATAGATAGATAATAAACATTGTGTTTCATGTGTTGTGTTCTTATCTTGTCTTGTTATCTGTTATTATGTTTTCAAATGGGGAAAAACTGATTCATATTGTAGTAGTTAAACAAGTAGTAAAAAAACAAAAAATGAAGGTGTGGCACTTCTTGATGTTACAAGTCAGAGAAGAATGATCAGTCGTCTTGATATTGTGGCATGTGTGTGAGTGATCGATGGTTGGAGGGGCCATTGACGCAGATTGGCAGCCTTGTCTTTGTCTGTCCGCCCCAGGGCATCTACAGTAATGTCTCACCATAACGAGTATAACGTGAATGAATGATGCACTGTAAATACACAAGACACAAGATGAGATGAGATTGGATTCACGAGAATGAGACAAGAGGAGATTTTAGCATAATTTCTAATATATCAATTTCACAATTCAGTTTCCAGTTTTGATCTCTCAGTTTTTTGAAATATGATGTCATAGTTTTGTTTCCGTTCTAGTACTGCTTTTTGAAACCATAAAATGTAACTCACCAACAAGCAACTGTGTTTGTCCAATTCAAACACTTGGAAAAAATCTCACAAGATGATTTTTCTCATCTCGTCCCTAACTGTAAACATGTTGGGTGTCTTGAAAGGTGCTATATAAATCCAATACATTAATAATTATTTTTATCAATGCAACATTATTGATCCATACATACTTGTGTAGTGCTTACACACATTTAAAATCTGATTTTAAAAAAAATATATATTTTTTTTTTGTATGTAAATCACCCCAATTATCTGCTTGATGTGTGCTAATGCTAAATAGTTCTCAACATGTGCGATCATGTGTAATGTAATGTACCTAATAATATGTCCACTGGCAATGAGTGTATATGTCAGATAGTGTTGTTGTGAGTTTGACGTGGGCTAAATCCGTTATCATGGTGTCAGCTCTCTCACTTCCTGTCTGCTCCATCACCTCCCGTCCTCTGTTTTTAGCAGTGAACAGATGGACCCCCTCCGTCCACAGGCAGCAGGGACACGTTTGTGCTGCTTTTAATCAATTAGACATAAAGTTCACTCAGGAGGTCAGGACAGTGGGAGCGTTTGTTATTTTAATTTGGAGATTTTGAGTGGAGTGGATAGAAATAGTGAAGTGAAGAAAGAACAAAATTATATTATATTGTCATTGTACTGTCATTGTATCAAATCTATTCCTTACTCTCAAAATCGAGTAATAAATATGACTTTCAATATAAATTTATGAACATAAACAAGACAAACATTGAACACAAAAATAGTCAAATTTATTCCTCTTAAGTCTGATCTCTGCTCCAAAGCACATGTTAATAGAAAATTGTCTGAAGACCTCTGCTAGGGCCATGAAGTCTGATAAATAAATTATAATGAAATCAGAATTACAATTTGAATCATCAGTCATAATTAGCAAATCCCCAAGACTGCTTCATTTGAATTTCCTCTGTAAACAACAAAATATCCCATTATCTTAGACTTCGATGTTCTTAAATTCATGCAGGGTGTGTCTTTGTTTAGTCCTGTTTACAGCCCTGTTTATTCCAGCAGTAAACTTGGTTGCGCCCTCTTCTAGTCCTAGTTTAGTCCTGGTTTAATCTTGGTTTAGTTCTGTTCTAGTCCTGGTTTAGACCTGGTTTAGTCCTGGTCTAGTCCCAGTTTTGCCCAGTTGTAGTCCTGGTTTAGTCCTGATTTAGTCCTGGTTTAGTACTGTTCTATTTCTGGTCTAGTCTTAGTTTTGCCTTGCTCTAGTCCAGGTTTAGTCCTGGTTTAGTCATGGTTTAGACTTGGTTTAATCCTGTTCTAGCCCTGGTTTAGTCTTGGTTTAATCCTGGTTCAGTCTTGGTTTTGCCCTGTTCTAGACCTGTATTAGTCCTGGTTTAGTCTTGGTTTAGTCCTGTTCTAGTCCTGGTTTAGTCCAGATTTAGTCCTGGTTTAGTCCTGATTAGAGCCCGACCGATACATCGGCTGGCCGATATTATTGGCCGATATGGGCACCTGGAGACATATCGGCTATCGGCCGATATGCTTGCTGATATGGGCCGATATTTCACGTGGGCATGTTATACCTCGTTATAAAGCTTAGACTCTCTACATTATGTTCATTTAATCCAATTTACAGACAGATAAATGTCCTAATATGTGGCTCCACATCAGTATTTATCTGTGGTGTAATTTGTCTGTGTGTGTCCGTACTGTCCCTGAACACACCACCAGAGTCACTTCACTCACGTGTTCTTGTTTACACCCGCAGCCGTGCGCAACACTGAGATTATATTCTTTTTACGGACAATCGGTTTGAGTCTGGATTAAAAGGACTTTTATTAGTGCAGACTTGTGATGTGAGGAGGAGCCTGTGTGAGCGCTGAGTGTTGGAAATATGTTAACTTTGAAGCTAGTTTTGGCTATTTGTGATTAGCTGTTAGCTCCTGTAGCTCCCGCACATAAACAGGCTGTTTTCTATTGGTCTATTGTAAAGTGACTTTATTGGCCGTATATTTGTTACTGGACCAGCATTGATATGTAAATGAGCTGTGAACAGACGTGTGAATGATCCACATTTATGCATATAATTAATTACCGCGGTGCGCACGTTTTTATGGCTAAAGGCTAATAGTGGTAGTTTCTTTACTATTTGGGAGTTATGGGTCGGTCGCGATCGAAGCGGCTCTTGGAGTCGGCGCTTTGAAGTGAACAACGGGAGCATGCTTCTTATTGGGAGCCGTGTTTTCTCTTTTTCTCACTTTTTCTCTTCAAGCCGCATGTAGACCTGTAGTTTGACAGCAGCAGCGGCTGAAAACTAAACTTTCAGAAATATGCGTGTGCATAGGATTTTTAAAAAAGTGCATATTTGGCTGCAGTTCAGCATAAAATGAATAAAGCAGGACTAATCTTGGGCTTGAGAGAGAGATAGAGACCGAGTCCCGACAGTCCTTTTTCAGTTCTGGTTTAGTCCTGTTTTACACATGGTTTAAATCTGTTTTAGTCCTGGTTTAGTCCTTTTTCAGTCCTGGTTCAGTTTTGGTTTAGACCTGCGTGCAACAAAACAATCTCAAGAGTCGCTTGGGAGCCGAAAGAGCCAGCTGCTTTAGTGAGCCGAGCCAAAAGAGCAGGTTCTCCAAAAAAAAAAAAAACTGGAATACCCATCACTAGTAGCTAGAATGTGATGCAAAAATGCCATTAGGCCAATCTACTGTATGTAAATATGATGTAAAGAGTCAGAATAACAATAAATGTTGCCTAAATAAACCCAATTTAGAATCCACTAGAGCCAAACCTAAGTTTTTTAAACAATTCAACATTTACAGTGAATTTTTACATCACTAAATATATCGGTGATTATATCGGCTATCAGCAGTGCCAACTCCCTTTATATCGGTTTCATATCGGCCACAAC